GAATTCACTGGACTATGGTGATGGCACAGGGTGATCTGGTGATGGGAAGCCCACAGGGATTATAACTGAGATGGAAAAAGGCACAAAATGATGTAAAAACAAACTATTATATATAAAAAAGAGCAGAAGAGCTACAAAGACACTTTTCCAAAGAAGAGCTGCAAATTAAAACCACAATGAGATACCATCTCACACCACTGAGAATGGCATATATTAAAAAAAATAGCAACAACAAATGTTGGTGAGGATGTGGAAAAAAAGGAACTGTCCTACACTGTTGGTGGGAATGCAAAATGGTCCAACCACTATGGAAAGCTGTGTGGAGGTTCTTCAGACTACTAAAAAATGGAGCTTCAGGGCCCTCCCTAGTGGCAAAGTGTGTTAAAGCGCAGCACTAAGAAGCTAAAGCCACTTCAGCATAAGTTCGATCCCTGACCCCCGCAGGTGATCCACATGGCGAGGAAGACCTCTCTGACCCGTCCAGTGTACTTCATCCATCTGCCTATTCTGCTCCCCACTCTGTCTCTGTTGAATCCTCTCATCCCCTGCACCTCTGGCCTGTTCTGTATGTATAAAGAAATCTTTTTTAAAAAAGAATCTATTGGGAAAAAAAGTATATTGTTATGATATGAAAACAAACTGGGAATTGCTGTTTTGGGGACCATAAAAAGAGAAATCAATGATTCAAATATTGAACTTTTAAAAGAATGTTAAGTTTTGATCCAGATGGTAGGAGTCATTCAATACAACACTGAAATGGAAACTGCAACTAAAGTCAACCATCCGAGCCAATTCTTTTCAGAAAACTGGCTGTAAGTAGTTAACTTTCTCCAGCCCGTGGAAGCACATGTGAATGCCTAATATCTGACACGGAGCCTGACTAACGCTCCTTGGTATATGAGCACTTCAATTTGCAAGAACAATCACAGTAAAGAAATACGGATCCGAAGGCAGCTTAAATATTTTCAGTTACAATCATTCTAAGAATGAAACAACTTTCTAAATCAGTTTCCAACATGCTTTCAATAAGAACTTTCACCATGGCAGCAATTCTCAACCATTAACATGCCCTGGTCAAAGTTAAAAATCTTAGCTCAAAAATTCATATCTAAAAAGTACCAGAAATCAGATCTGAAAACTCCTTTTGTCTACTTTTGTGAAAAAAGTTACAAATGCAGGACACCTTATCTCCATGGCCCAGGTTCTCCGATTTAACCTCATATAACGTTTTCCAATTGGTGTAGCTCCCGCCCGTTCCCACACCCTTCAGGTCGGAGATGGAAACACCATCTAAGGCTTGTCCTTCTGAGTCAAACCTGAAAAACAAACGAAGAATGATGACAGAACATCACACAATGTACAAACTGAATATGGCCCTTCTTTCTACGTCAGCTACAAGCTTCCTTACCCGCAATTTTCATAGGTCTCTGTCACATGAACTATACTGTCTTCATTGGATCTTAAGTCTAAAGACTGAGGAAACTCAATGACCTTTTTATCTCAACTGCTTTGATGCCCCCCAGTGGTCAAGAAAAACCAAAGTACCACAGAACCTCTTCTCAAATTAGCTCTGCATAGCAACAATGGCCAGAGCATTCAGTAACCTGGAATGTCAACAACAAAAAAGGAGTATTTAGAGCTCTGACTAGGTTGTTTGGGCCGCTGACACAGTATCATTATTAATGACACAGTATCATTATTAAATGTATCAGAATGAAAGAGACAGCTGACAAATAGCAACCAGCCAAAGATCTTTTAAGCCTGATAAGAGTGCAAAAGATAAAACTCCATGTGATTTGTTTTCTTGCAGATTTATCATCTTAGTGAGATTTCATGTATGCCAAAATTAAAGTTAATTTGCCAAGCTGTTTATTAAAATTGACTATATACTTCTTGATCATGTATCAGCTGATAGGAAGGAAAGGGAGCCAGGGAGAAAGTGGTTCAGAAACACTCTTCTGGCATGGAGGAGTGAGTCTGAGATTAAATAAACAAAATATGTGCCAGTGTAATACAAGAAGAGGAAAACTAAAAGCTAACCAAACCAGTTCCTTAAAGAGACCATCTAACAGAATGGATGTTGCCCTATGCTTGTAGACAATTGCCTTCTCAGTCTGTCAGTTAAGCGGCTAAATCTGTCAGAGGCACAGAAAGGATCATAAATCTGTTTCCCCACTACCAGCTACACAAGTTTATAGTCTCAAAAATTCCACAGAGACATTTGCCACCAGAGACAGCTTATCAGGAGTCAACAGAGCAAGAAGAGAGGCAGTCTTAAATATCCTCTATCTGCCTATGTGTGGTGTGTGCATTCAACTTAGTTTTAATCAACAGCAAGTTATTTAATCTTGAGGACAGCCATGTCTTTCTATGTTGATCATAGTTTATAACATAAAATAAGAAGACCTTCTTCTGGGCATGCAATTAACCAGGGTCAAGCTCCATAGCCCAGAAGTCAATCAAGCAACAAAGTTATGGTTGTTTCTGGTAAGATCTTTAGGGGACCCTGCTTTCCAGTATATCATCAGCTATTGATCTAAACAAGGAACATCTGGGTCATACTCATGATATGAACACTTCAACAGATACTTCATGAAACTATTCCAATGCTGGTGCTACTAGCTCGCATTACTCAAAACAAAAATGGAGAATGTCATATGAGCTAATTCTTTAGTCAAACCCTAAGGCATTAACTGGAAAGAAACACATTCCCTCCTATGACTATAGCTATACAAATGATTTAAGCCCTAGCTAAAGTGTTTTCCCTGACCACATCAATTCCTGCATATCACGCTTCAGTTTGAAGTGCTCTTTTAAGGCAGTTTTAACACCTAAAAAGCTAGATAGATACAGTGAGGAGATTTTAATAGGCTCGCTCATCTCCTGAGTGCTCTGGGAGTAACAATATAATGCCAACAAAAGCCCATTGTTCACAACACACTTTATCAGAATCCAGAGAATACACACTAGAAGATGTGAGCAAGCATCAAAGACTGGATGGAATAACATGCACATTCTCCCCAACACCAGAGCCCTCTCTGCTTTTAAGCTAGGAAAAAGATGCCTTCAGGTCTCTGGTCCTTCAATGCACGGCTGCTAACCTGGCCTCATCCTGTTCTGGCAGCATCCTGGTGGGCAAGCAGTATTTCCACTCTAATTGCCTCCTCAACTCTCCAGATCTGTCACAGGATTACAGGTTTGTCAGTTTAAGGGCTTTAAAGCCACGCTCTCTGAAGGTGTAGTACCTCTAAGAAATACAGGAACCGCTCCATTCAGGAAGGAAGCCTTCTGCTCAGCAGACAGCTCACATACTCATCATAAAAAGCAAGAGAACAAGCTCTTCTTAAGGCTCAGGTCCTCGTCCAGCCTCACCACCCACGAAAACCTACCATCCACGAAGTTTATAGGCCTCTGCGATGTCAGGATTCACAATGACCGTGCTGGAAGACAGTACAGAGAGGCTCCGTCCACCAAAATCAGAAACTCTGGCTCCTTTGATAGCCATCACAGGTTGTCTGGAGCCATCAAATTTATCAGCCTGTATAACAACAAAAGCATCAAACAGACACAAACAAGTGTCGCTGCCAGGAAGAACACAGAACGTTTTTATAGGAAACAAGAAAACCATCAATAGTAGAGCAAATGCAGTAAGTGGCACATTGACTCTATACAAGATAACCTTACACAGAAAAATCTGTTTAGAGATACATCAAAACTAATTTAGTCAGAGGAAAGAGCATTTCAAAACTTAAATCCTAGCAAATCTCATAAAAGTAAATCAAATAAAGGATTTCAAATATTCCCTGGCCCAAGCTTTCGCTGGGAAGGGCCAGCACAGCCTACATGGCCATAGCCCACAGCCACTGAACCGCTGCAGGAGCGCTTTCCATCTTGTCTTCCTGCACGTGCTCCGACCGCTCAGCCAGGTACTTACATCTTCTCCCCACAGAGTAGTGGTCACCACCTTTCCTGACATGTCAATCAAGTAGATATTTCTCTTAGAAACTTCTCTGTTGTTAGACTTCACTGTGATTTTAGTGGCGTCGTCATAGCTCTTGCAGATCGCAATTATGTCTAAAAAGTTTGAGAGGAGGACGGTCAAGGCGCCCATTACAGCATGCCCGAAGGCTAAACAACAAGCACTCTAAGTCTTCTACCGCCCCTTTGTGCAGCCAATAAAATAAGCCATTACCGCTCTCTCTATTCTCATACAAAACTTACCAACAAGCGAGTCCTTAGGCTTGCTCTCAAGGTCAGTAATCCCTGTGAAATCAAATTTAACTGCAGGCAAGTGATGACCATCTTCACATGGCACAACAGAAGTGTCATTATTGAAGGTCATCTCATAATCATTCTTAACAGCACAGAACTGTTTGTTAGCAATCTTCATGGTGCCTTTAGAGAAATAATAGACCTGCAAAAGAAGCCGAGCCATAAACATAGGACAGTTCACCAAACTGGACCTAAAACTGCACCTTTACCATCACAAAGCTCTTTGACGGGCAAGAAACCCTTCGTCCTCACCCCACCACTCAACGTGTTCAGTCCGACTCAATACTAACATACCTTGTTCACGTCAATAAGAGAAAAGAACTTATCCACTTGCTCATTGAAAGCAGTAGCTCTGATTTCACCCTAGAGAAGCACATGAGAACAGGTGAGAATTGTGGGGTTCATCAAATTTTACCAGTGAAAAATGTAACACTTTGGTGTTAAAATGACACCTCCACAGCAGGACAATTGTAAATGGGATCCATGAGAGGACCAGAGACACCCCAGAAACACATTTTATAGTCACACTTTAAAGTTATTAAACCTGATGAAACAGCATACGTTTTACTAGCTGATCCGATTATCATGTGTTAATAAATTTCAGTTAGAAACCTAAAAACAAGCAAACAAAAAAAAAAAACCCAACAAACTCAAAGTGGATTTAATATTCTGACAACAAAAATAAAATGCTTTGAACACCTGAGTGACACGACTGAAGCCCACGGGAAAGCGCCGAAGCACAATGATTCACCAGCTTCCCTCACGCCCGCATCCTAAGCAAGGCATTACTTCACATTCAGGAGTTGTTGCCAAAAATGTTATAATAAGGCTTGTTTTCAAGCTACTTGTGATCTGAGTTTTTGCTTTTACTTTTCCATCATCAGTCAAGATGCTACAGATGGATAATAAACTTTTATAAGCGGTTGAAATTTTAGCAAACTGACATATGAGACTATTGTTAAGTTCAAAATTAGGTTCTGATAGTGAACCTGCCATCAGTCGATACATGGGGTATCAGTGCATCCTCCAAAAAGCAAAAATAAACCATTTATCCTTTTCTGTTCTCAGAGAGCTGAATGAATGCCGGACATACTCATTAGAATTAAAGACAAAACGAATAGACAGAGAAGCAGCTGACAAGACTTCTGAGATTCCACAAGTTGGCAATGTTTTCCTTTCATGATCTGGTTTTGTTTAAGGCAGGCATATAGAGAATGTGCACAGCCAGAGCCCTCTACCCACAAAACCATCTGCTTATCAAGTGGCCACCGGATGACTTCTGCTGTGGCTCAAAGCTCCACAATGCTCAGAAGCAAATATCAGGCTCCTAAGGTCTTCAACTAAGCCTGGCAGTCAATCAGACAGAACATCTCTGGTTTCTCTTGTCTTGAGGCTATTTATACATTTAGAAAATTAACTTCTGCTGTTACAAATGCTCTTGTTTAAGATCAAGGATTTTTATTTATGACCTCTAATTCTTTGCTCCAGTCAGCAGCAAAATACTACAATTGAGAAAAAACAATTGCCATCATGTTTCTTTTCAGTCTACTACTATTCATCTCCTAGGATGCCAAGCCCTCTGACCACTCTCACTTTCCCAAGTGACACTCACGCTTTCATCAACCAGTTCCATAGAGAAGAGCTTCCCTTCCCCTCGGGAATTGCTCCAGGTGCGGATCTGACTTTTGTTGGTAACACGGGCACAGATAGTCCACCTGAAAACCACAGATCATGTTAGTGTTCAAAGTCTTAACTGTGAAAGATCTCAAAGGTACCCTATCATCTTCCTACAGCCTTTTTTAGCTTGTGTATATTCCATTTATCAATGTTAGCTGTATTTTAATCCAGCTAATTAAACCCCAAGATCACACCTAGGTTTGACAGCTTATAGTAAAACACACAGGTGATTTAATATTAACTCATTCTCCTGTCAAATAAGTAAATTTACAAATGCTCGCCTTCTCCCTAAAGCATCACCAAGGCAACAATATCCCCTTAATGAAAGGTTCTAAGAAAATACAGTAACATCGGCAATTATATTTTGCCACTATTTTCACTTATGTAAGTTGATGTAACTGGTGTCAAATGTCTGTCTCATTTCTATTATCTTGAATACAAAAACAAGATTATGGAATATGGAGTTGGTGAGCCACCAAGGCAAGCACACTAACTAAAGCACTAAGACTCAGAGAGAAGACAGTTAGAAAGGAGGCACAAAATCTGAGACCCAACCCTGGTGCCCTTATCCATCATTTCAGAGGTCTGTGTTTTTCTTACATTGCACAGAATTAACAAACAAACACAAATACATATGAGAGAATTCTAACAAGCGAACTCACTAATTTTCAACTGCTAAAACAAATTTTTGAGGGGAAAAATGCTTATGAAAGAAACATCTTTTCGGTTATATTGGTGAGATTAATATATACAGGATTTTTTTTTAAGACTTATTTTTATTTAACGCCTATTAACAACTGGGGTATAGGCCAGAGGTATCGAGGTGAAAGGATTCACCAGAGACAGAGTGGGGAGCAGAACAGGCAGATCTACTAAAATACATTGCTGAGAGGAGCAGCAGGCAAGACAGAAAAGGTCTGCTGCACCCTATATGGGTCAGCTCCCTGGCCAGGGACTGAACTCAGGCTAAGTGACTGGCCATAGTTTGATAGTGCTGAGACTAACCCGGTGCCACCAAGGAGGCCCTATTGCATTCTTTTAACCAATTAAATCATAGTAATTTTTAGACTAAAAGTTACCTACTTATATGATAAGAAAATGAATTATTTTTACTCATAAGTCTATTAACTAATTCTTTAAGCATCAAATATTTTTCATTTTAAATTCTTCAAAATGAGTAAAACTCCAGAGGCTATGGTAGCAAGCATTGCTCTTCTTGCCATTTTTTAAATAAGAGTTAAAAGTTTCCACAATTTGTACCCTCCTCCCCCTCAAGAAAAAAAAAAAAGGAAACCTACTTCTGCATGGTAACATTGATGTTCACATATAAATAACTCAAGAACCCCTAATAATCTCTTTATACTGTTATATAAGTAAATTCTGAACTTATTTATGGGGTAACTCACTTGGACTGATAAGGGGTGAGGCTGGCAATGGGCACCACCTTGGACTGTGTTCCCCCAGAAGCGCTCACCAAACTGCTACCTCCAGATTTGCCAAATATCTTTGAGGAACCATAAGCCTTAGTTACAGGGGAGCCTTTTAAAACAAACACAAAAGAACAATCATTATTTTACTTGCATTCTGTAAATTGTTAGTAACTCAATTACTGACATATCATTGGTGAAATGCAAATGAGAAGCAAAGTTTTTCCTTTTTTAGAAATGGAGATCCAAAGAGGCTAGAAAAGCAATCAAATATGAAAGTTGGGCCACAGAAATTCACTATTACATTTGCTGACTGAAGCCCTGAGGTCAAAAGGAATGGTTCTTATGGAGGTCCACCCTTCTTAAAATTTCCTCTTGCATCAATGGGCAAGAAAATAGATAAGAGAAAGAAAATCTGTCTTCTTAGCTAGTAAAACTGTTGGCAAATCTTTAGCTGCTTGAGAAAAGCAAGAGGGTTGGAAGCAAGGGGCATAGTGAACGAGCCACCTGAGATACAGGATACTATGACAAAGGGATCGCCTCACAACATCCCCATCAGGCAGTTTTTAACTAGTCTATGGGATTGAAAAGTCCAGAAGCCAATGAAATTATTTTAGTTGGGTGCAAAGCACAAGCATCAGTTTTTGGTCCAAGACAGGCAGGTTACTGACCACCAAGATCTCTTCTGCCTCCTTTATCCAAACCTAAGCGGCAAACCTGTACTTGAAAACAATTCATTAAAGTCTAAAAGCAGATGCATTCCTTAGAAGCACACTGTTGCTGTAGTTTCAACTTCCAAATTCAGAAAATATAATTTAGTCCCATGATTTCATATCTTCTATATCAAAACACTTCTTCAGAATGGAATTTGGCTAGAAATGTAAATCTGCCATTACTCAGCACTCATTTATTTATTGAGTTTCCACAGCATGTACTACTTTATGCTAGGTATTTGTAGCATTTTTACTAAATGCTACAAATACAGTCTGTCCCAGATCTCAAAATTTTCTATTCTAACTAGGAAGGCAAAGAGAGATGACTAAACACATAACTGTAATAATTACCTCAACAGTATGCAAGGAGGCACAAGCGCTTTGTGTGTGAAGACACTAAGTATGTAGCATACAACTACATAAAATGCATACACTCTTCTAGTTTCATGCCAGGAAGCTGCCCCTCAATATACATCCCACCCAGTTGATGAGAACTTCAGAGATTTTTAAAGACAAATCTCAATGTAAGTCAGACTGACTACTGGATAAATAATCTGCAGGGGAAGGAGTGGGGTAACATACTATTTATATTTCAGCCTCATGATTTTTATATTATACTTTTATGTTATTTGCCATTTAAGATAAACTATTCTACCATGTCCCTTCAGTATCATAATTGGAGGTTTGAGTATAAATAAATCTATTTATAGAGGGAGCTAGAAAATAGGTAGGTGGATACTGCAAGGTAGATAATGGTAGATAATACATCAAGAACCAAAGGGGAAAACATCACATGTCCTGAAAGTTTCACAGCAACATCAGTGACATCAACTTGGTTTTTCTTAGGATCTCAGCATTGCAAAATGCAAATTAATAGTTGAGGGAAAGAGTGGTGGTGCTTTATGTGAAGCTATGACAGAAAAAGAAATATATATCCAACCAAATTCTACAAGTCAATTTTCAAAGGCAATTCTCGACGTTCCTAAAGTAAAGGCCAGGAAGTAAACCAAATGGTCCTCGCAGGACCTGCTGCAGAAAGTTAAAAGAATTTATTTCCCATCTATAAGACTATGAACCTATGACCAACATTAATGACACTGTCTTCAAGATAAGATAAATACCCTAGAATATGTGAAACTTGGAGAGAAATAAGCCAAATCTAATAAGCAGATCCTGTATTGCTAAAAAGGCAAGAAATTAAAAGGTATATAAATTTACAAGGTGTTAAACTTAAGATATGAGAAACTACCAGAGAATATATTGTACATCATTCTGGTTTTTCAAAAAGGGCATTTTAAGTATCTTTGAAAGACTATCTTTAATCATTTTTTTCAATCACATATTTTACAATGAAAATTGGAGTTATTCTTTGCAAGAAGCAACTGTCATGAACAGATTTTTGAAAAATCTCTTTAGTGTTAGATTAAATTTCAAAACATTACTCAAAAGCATGATACACATAGTCAGCAAGTGTATACCCATGTGGCAATCTTACCTGTTCCTGAGCTCCCATTCTGCTGCTGGGGCTTGCTGGCTTGTGGATTGGCTGGTGAGGCTGGAGAAGGAACTACCTGCTGCTGTCCATGCCCTGAAGATCAAAAGAGAATGACCATTTTTGTGCAAATAATTTGGATTAAAAATTTAAACTTAAGTAGGAAAAATACTCTTGAGAAAGTGTAAATATGTTTGTCGAAGACTTCCATGGGTCAGAATTCATGCTGTGCACTCAACTGCATGCAGTGGATTTTCTAGGGATTCAGTTTTGTTTTTATTACATAGAAGGTTGATTACATTTACCTTTCACCTGCTTATAATTGATAGCTTTTAGTTTTAATGAGGTTCTCCCCTAAAGCCTTGCCTATTTCTCCTGCATGAACCTGAACAAAGTTACTAGGCTGAATCTGTGACATTGCCACTATTTCCATAGCAACAAATCGATGTCATCAACAGAACTGTGTGTTCACGGCAGGATGTATCAGAAGAAAAGGCTGGGTGGTAAGAAAAACCTAAAAGCAGTTCAATTGTCTCTGAAGTGCTCCTGCTTCAAAGGAAAAGGAGACATTCAGAAAGGATTCTACCCTTCGGCCTTGCAAACAAAGCAAACTTATTTTGCAACTGACAGTTGGTAGAAAATAAGAGTTGAAAGAGCCTTAGGTACCGTGAAGTGCTAGTGAACTGTCACAGCAGGGAGACATGAGAATGGAGTTCAGAAGCAGGTGTGTCAAGGAAATAGGAAGATTAAAAGGAAAAAAGGGGAAATGAACATGTCTCTCAAGCAGAAAATAGTGCAATACCATTAGGTTATTTATTTGTCCCTCATCCTTTCTACAAATGTCTATGAAATTGAAGAATGTTAAAATTGAAATAAGAGGAAATACTAGATTAATGAAATTTGATTTCACCTTTGTGACTGGCACCAAAGGTCAAAGTCAACCTAATCAGGGCTGCTCACAGAGTGCTTGCAGCACAAAGAGGAGCTAGAAAATTTCCTAGAGTGCCAGAAGGACAAAAATGGTGAGCACTGCTGGAAAAACTCTCCCGACACCTGCCTGAGCCTTTTCCCACCACGGGGTTTAGTTCCTGCTGGGTTTTCCAAGGCCCTAATTCAAATAGGCATATTATATACCAATTTCATTTCCTTCTGCCAATATTATGCTTAACTGGTACAACTAAATGAGAGCTAACTGTGCCATTAGAGTAAAGTAAATTTAGCATAAAATTAAAAGGTTAAACAGAATTGTTTGTTCCTTACTTCTCTCCATGGAGAGAAAACTCCAGAGATTTTATTTAGAGGAAAAAGGAATCCAGAATATTAACAAATTTTTGTGTTTACTTTTTAGTTTTTCCATTATCTCTAAATTTATAGTGTTATTTGAAATGCATAAAGAACTGGCTCTTTTTTGACAAGGTACCTCTTGAAATAGTATTTTGAAATTCTATATTGAACATTTTTTTTTTTATATTGAACATTTTTAATCAGTAAAGAAAAGATGAGTTACAGTATTGGGATAAAGTTGAAGTGGCTAGAAAAAAAAAACTTTCACCTGCTTCATGAAATATATTAGAAATAACTAAAAGATTTAAATGTTCAAAGAACAGTGAAACTACACAAATTCTTGCTAAACCACCTGTGCCCAGGCCCTCACTTTCTTCTACTCTCAAACTTACCTAAACTCTAAAGTCCCTTTCTCATTACCAGCTCTGTTTTTTCCATTACCTGGCTGAAAAAGTCATGGTTATGGGATCATGCTGATCTCTTGCTTTTAATTTCCATCAAAATTTAACTATAATTTCTGAGGTACCTAGAGTAGTCCAACTGGCAGAAGCAGAAAATAGAACAGCAGTTACCGTGAACTGCTGTTATGCTTTCATGAGCACAGAATTTCAGTTTGGGATCGTTAGAAGATTCTGGAGATGGATCAAGACCACTAAACTGTACACTTAAGAATGCTTAAGATATAAATATTATATAACACAAACAAATACACACTCAACCACAATTCTTTAAAAAAGTAACTTATCTACGTCTTCTAAGATGGACTTTTTACACGTTTACATATGAAATAAAAATGCCTTTTCTTCTTAGTTGTACACAGTATGTACCATGTAAGACCTGCTAACTCCAAGCAGACACTGTCAGGACAAAACTGAATTATAAGACACCCCACTGGTATCCACAGAGAATTTAAGAATTATTTAGCATGGGAAACACACTCCTACCACATTCATGAGAACTGCCAGTGCTGTATGTAGAGAAGAACAGATTTTTCCTTTATGGAATTCTACCACCACTTATCCACTGTTGGGGGGAAAATAACTTGGTTCTACACCCCCAAATTACTAGCTTTATTAAGACCTACAAATCAAAATGAATCCAAAAGGTGGAATTCCAGATCTATAAACAGGTAATCAACTGAGTGCTAAAACCAATTTTAAAAAAGCTTTTTACCTTCATTATAGGGCACTGGATTGCCAATCTTTAATCCAACTGCTTCAGCTGATTTTAAAACTACTAATTCCATCAAAATAACTACTCTCCTATAAAGACAAAGAAATAGAAACAAGTTAGAAAATATTAACTCAGAAATTCTTCAAATGACAAGTTGCTTAAAAGCTTTTCCCCAATAATCATTTTCATAAAATTATTTCTCTTTGTTAAGTTTGTTTTTCTTACTGAATAATTACTTGAGAAATACATGGCATCAATTCCTACATAAATATTTCCCTCCATCTTTGACCACATCATCACGATGGCTTCTTATGATTACAGGCAGTTTCACTTCTCAGCTAGCCTCTTAATTAAAATGCAGTGTCCTTACTGCATACCCTATCGCCAAGAAGCAAATGCCATGATAAGAATTTAAATTATTAACACAGGAATATGTGACACAAGACATGATCTGTTTTCAGAAACATACTTAAATAATTACCTTTTCCCAGTTAAAACCAATGATTGCAGATTTGTTAAAGCAATTATTATCTGAAAATTTACACTTCTTTGACCTATATTTAACTTTAATTAAAGCCTTTCAAGAATTTCCCAAGGACTTGAAGACCAAAAATAAAAACCTTTCATATAGCCTACAAGCTCTGTCTGGTTTGTCCTTGCTGACCGCTTTTCTGCTCATCTCCTGCCCCACATTCTCACAGCTCTCTGCTCTAGTCAGCCGCAGGCTTCCTGGTATGCATTATGCTCACTCCTGCCTTTGCACATGCCACTCCAGTTGGGATGGTCTCCCCTCATCCTGCCTTATCCAATATTAATTTTTTGGCTCTCTTATCAACCATCAGTTTAAGAGACACTTCCTTAATGTTCAGTTTAGATCAGGTTTCTAGTATACTTTTTATACCCATGAATTTTCCTCCAGATCACTTCTCTCAGATTTAATATATATTAACATATAATTATGAATATAAAACTTAACCATATTGTCATTTGATATATATTTTTTTACATTTTAATTACTTATTCATTATTTGATTATTTCTTCACCCAGGTTGTATTTTCAGATAGCAGAAATTATTGTAAAATGCTAGTGTATAATTAATGCATCAAATAGTCCACAATTGTTTAATACATATTTAAATAAGAATGTCATGATGTTTGTATTTTTAAAGAGCACTGCAACAGTAAGAAGGAATCTGAAGTAAATACAACTGGAGACAAGGAGGCCACTGGGAGACAGCTGATGGTGGCCTGCACTGGGGTTGTGGAAACAGACACCAAAAAAAGGGCCTGTTTGGAGCAATAATTACGCAACAAAAAGTCCAACACTGCATTAAATACTCTGCCATACTTGTGTGTTCTAGATCAGTGTGTGCCATCTTTTATCAGTTTATTTCATCATAAGGTTATGTCAATGAAATAAGCCTGAAACTATCTGTTCCCAATTAGATGCAGATTCCCTATAAACACTGATAGGTATTTAGCAGTTATCCAAAATTACTCAAATTATTCCAGAACACAGAAAGGTTTGTTTATCAATCACTTAGCATTACTCTCTAATACCAAAACCTAAGAGAAAAAACATCAAAGGTACAATTTACAAGGATATAACCAACAAAATCTGACTGTGGGAAACTGCCTTAGGACATAGGGCAAATGACCTGTATTCTTTGACAGATAAACAGTAAGAGAGAAAAAAAGACATGGAAGAGGACCCCAGATTCAGAGACTTAACAGACTTTATACAGGATACTGATTTATTTATTTTTTAGGATACTGATTAGATAAACTCTTCATACACCCGTGACTGGAAATGGAACATTGACAGGATTATTTACAATGTTACATGCAAAATGGTATTTTAAAAAATCTTATTTTCTAAAGATATTATTAACATATTATGGATTAAATAGATGCCTGAGCTCTGCTTCAAAATTATAGAGGGTTGATATGAAAAGGATATAGATTTTTTAAAAATTGGCTAACAGGTGATAAGTTGAAACTGGGTGATGGGATATATGGGGTTCACGTGATATTTTTCAACTAAAAACTTAATATCAAATATAAATTAAATTTAATGCAATTCTTTGCATTCCAATTTTTTTGTTTTGCACTTAACTATGTAACTGTAGAATGTACACGGAAAAGCAAGCATAGAACTGCCAAAAAAACTTGGGGGGGGG